CTTCTTTCTGAGAGAGTAAGGTAGTTTTATTCTCTTTTGCAAGGAAAATGCGAAAAGTAAACAGACGGTATTCCTGCAGAAGCTTGCAACTAATCAGCTGATTTGTCAAAACAAACCAATTTGTCCCCCATAAGGAGAATCAAAACAAAGGAAGCAATACTAATTTTACAAGTTTTTTAATTAAAAATGTTGGAAATAGTCTTTTATTTTCTTATTACATATTAACATTTACGTTTTTCGCATTTTGTAAAGTTGTTCTCCAAAAACTATTAAGCTGGGAATACATAAAGCGCTTATTTGGCTGGCTTAAGTAATCGGCTGGCTTCTTCGGAAATGAACAAAGGAGCCTAGGGCCAAAATCGAACTAGGTCAACCTAAAACTCCTTTGTTCATCTACGAAGAAGCCAGCCGATGACTTAAGCCAGCCAAATATGCGCTTTATGTATTTCCAGCATTAGTCTTGCTAATTCCAAAAAAATATTTTCAAATTGAAAGCACAAAAAGAAACAAGTTAAAAAGCAGTAAAGCTGGGAATACATAAAGGGCATATTTGGCTGGCTTAAGTCATCGGCTGGCTTCTTCGTAGAGGAACAAAGGAGTTTTAGGTTGACATAGTTCGATTTTGACCCTAGGCTCCTTTGTTCCTTTCCGAAGAAGTCAGCCAAATATGCCCTTTATGTATTTCCACCCTAATTTTTAAAAAATAAAATCCTTAAAAATTCTTTTAAAATTTTAAAAATACCGAATATAGCCGTTATATTGGGGTCTATACGACGTGGACATACATAGGCATTGTTTGTCATAAGCCATTACCATATTCAAATTCGAAACTTGAAATAAACAGTGAATAATGTAGCTAAAATCATCAAAATATCGTATATAAGGAGGTGCCGTTATATCGGAGCTGTGCGAAGACCTGGACCAGCATAGACAATTTTTTGTAACAGGCTGTAGCATCCATTACGAACTTCAAATACCACATCTCAAACAATTTCGGTGGGTATTGTACCTAAAATCGTCAAAATACCGAATATAGGGAGGTACTGATATATGGGGCCTATACGAAGACCTGGACCCGCACAGACAATTTTCTGTCACAGACTGTAGTTCCCATAACGAACTTCAAATACCAAATTTGAAACAATTCCCGTGAATAATGTCGCTAAAATCATCAAAATACCGAATATAGGGAGGTACCGTTATATGGGGGCTATATGAAGACGTGGACCTGCACAGAAAATTTTCTGTCTTAGGGTGTAGTATCCATTTTGAACTTCAAATACCAAATTTGAAAAAATTCCCGTGAATAATGTCGCTAAAATCATCAAAATACCGAATATCGGGAGGTACCATTATATGGGGGCTATACGAAGACGTGGAACTGCACAGACAATTTTCCGTCTTATGGTGTAGTATCCATTTTGAACTTCAAATGCCAAATTTGAAACAATTCCCGTGAATAATGTCGCTAAAATCATCAAAATACCGAATATAGGGAGGTACCGTTATATGGGGGCTATATGAAAACATGGACCTACATGGCCCATTTACGAACTTATCTTGCCTAATGGAAAAATAAACATGTGTGCAAAATTTTAGCCATCTATCTCAATTCATTCGAAAGATAGCGTCTGTCTGTCCGCCTGTCTGTTGAAATCACAATACAGCCCACATTATTTGACGTAGAGCGTCAAAATTTAGCAGAACAATTTGTATTGTGTCTAGGATGGTTGGTATTGAAAATCAGATATATCGGTCGACGTTTTGGTATAGTCCCCATATAACAGTACCTCCCGATATTCGGTATTTTGATTATTTTTGCCACACTTTCTCACGGATTTGACTGAAAATTGGAATTTGTACGTCATAATGGGTCCTAGTTCGTGTGGCAAAATATTGTATGTATGGGTCCACGCTTTGATATAGTCACCTTTTATCGGTACCTCCCGATTTTTGGTATTTTGATGATTTTTGCCACATTTTTTCACAGATTTTGGTATTTGTTGGTCATAATGGGTTCTAGCTCCGGTGGCGAAACATTGCATGTATAGGTCCACGTTTTGGTACAGCCCCCAATAACGGCACCTCCCGATATTCGGTATTTTGATGGTTTTTGTCACATTTCTCCGCGGATTTGTCTAAAAATTGGTATTTGTGTGTCCTAATGGGTTCTAGCTTCGTTGGCGAAACATTGTATGTATAGGTTCACGTTTTTGTATAGCCCCATATAACAGTACCTCCAGATATTCGGTATTTTGATGGGTTTTGCCACATTTCTCCGCGGATTTATCTAAAAATTGGTATTTGTGGGTCATAATGGATTCAAATGTTTCCTTTACCATAAGGTGGAGGGTATTAAAAGTTCAGCTGGGCTGATGTTAATGTTTTTTTACCTGTTATACTCTCAAATAATACAGATACGGCCGAAAAGTTGCCTCATCGAAATAATGGTTTTAGGCTCTAGGTCTCTTAGGACCGAATCCTTTTCAGGGCATTTGGAGTCGATCTAGCGATATGCGTCTATCTTTCTGACTGGCTGGTGCGCACAATGACTCTCGAAGGGAGTATCCGATTTGGTCTAAACTTGGTACATTGTAATATTAATATCTAACTCAAATCGAAGGGTCAAAATTTTAAATAATTACAACTCTCATAAAATGTGATGTAAGAGTCCGACTGTCTCCGAATTTCACACATCCCAATATTTATATTAACCCAAGGTTTGGTGGTAAGGTACCACTGCTTCTGGTACCTCCCCCACAAATGTTCGAGATTTTCAAAATATATATATTTTTTGTACAAACAGAGAAACAATAATCCGATTTTGCTCCACCTTTGCAAATCCTAATATTTGCGTCAGTGCTAGGTCAGGTGTGAAATTGGACAATATCGGTCCACTCCATCACGTACCTCCCCCACAAATGGTCAAAATTTTGAATATCCGTGAAGCTCATAAAAAGCGAAATCAACATCTGATTCCATTCCAGACATGGTACATCTCAATATTTCCATCAACACAAGATCTGTTATCAAGATGCTAGAGATCGCACCATTTCTTTTGCTTCCTGCTCCACATAGGGTTCAAGATTTTGAAAAACAAAACGCTCAAAGAAAGCGAAATAAGCACCCAACTCTCTTCAAATTTCTCACATACAAACATTTTTACTAACCCCTTCTGGTACCTCACCCACACAAAAGGACACAATCTTCAATACCTGTATCTGTCATAAATTGCTAAACAACTCAGCGATTCTTTACAACTTGCTATATCTAAATATATGACTCTCAAACAGAATCCTGAGATGAATATGGAATTTAAATTTCCCATAAATTTTCTTATATATTTATATATTAAGTTCGATATGAAATGGACAATATTCTATCAAAAGCCACTCCATAGAGGGTCAAGAGTTTGAAAATTCATAACAGAAGTCAAAATGTTTTTAAATAATCGAACATTGGCTGAGGGTATACATCTGTCGGCAAAACCGACCGATACTTTTTTATTTGTTTTCTTTAAAAATTTTGACATTTTGTGTGGCAGGTACCAGAAGGAGTGAACCGATATTGCCCATTTTCGAACTCGATCTAAGTTTGACAATAATATTACGATGCACCAAGTTTGAATCAAATCGAACACTTCCTTCGAGAGTTATCGTGTGCACCAGCCAGACGGACGGACATCGCTGGATCGACTCCAAATGTTCACAAACGGAATTGGTCTAAAGGAGAATAGGGTCTAAAACCGTTATTTTGATGAGGCACCCTTTGGCCATATCAAATGATTTATACCCTCTCTTGTCATATGGTTGAGGGAATAATTACTGCAAGCAACCGTATTTAATTTATATAGTCTCAGAAAATAATTTCCCGTATTTAATTTTACCACAATTTTCATTCCACCACCCGTTGTATTTAAATAGGCGCGTTTTGCAATCGCTTGTTTAAATTCTTATAGCTTAGTTTTTAAAAAAGCAAACAAGTTCACAATCTTTTCATTTTTTTTTTCAAATATAAAAATGCTTTATTTTTTAATTGTTGTTGGTGTTATCCATTTTAATTGCTCCCATATTGGTATTGGATTCTAATGGAATTTTTCATGAAAAAATATATGATAATATATAAAATATACAAACACCGCGTTAATATACAAAAATACGTAGAAAATGCATGTGTAAAAATTTTACATACATGTACATATATTATATGAGATAATAATATTGTGGACAATTTTCAATTGCTTTGCTCTTTTAACTTATAACTATGTTAATATTCTTAAAGCTATTCAGACCATCTTAAACGTTAATAATAATAATAAAATCTGGACATTCGATATGAATGTAAGTATATTAGTTAGTTTTTCTGATTAAATTCGAAGGACCAATTTCGCAGATGAAATTTTAATAAATCACATTTTTTGCAACGCTTTAATATTAATAAAACTTCATCTTTTGACATTGGAACTCTTCCAAACACTGTCGTGTAAGACTGGATTCCAGTTAATTTAGTTGTAGGTTTCCTCTCTACAATGACGGCCAAAGTGTGACTGAGTTTTCCCAGGATCTACATAATCGTTGGGTACATTAAAATTCTACCAGCAAACTGAGGCCACTTGTTTCGAAACAATGCATTTTTGCCTTTGTGTAGATCCACCATTTAAATTCCATTTGCAAAACTGGTCCTCACAAGTTATTTAAATGCTATAAAATCCGTTACAATCCATTATCCTTGAGGCGGCCCTACAGTGAAGTCCGCTTCTTATTTTCTTCCGCTCTACAAACTTTACAGAAGGGCAAAGCTTCCGGTGTGGGTGGAGCGGTACCGGATATGGATCCAATTGATGAGACAACGGGAAAGTGATTCCAGTGGGGGCATGGCATTTGCTTGGGAATATCCAATGGGAAAGGCATTTTTACAAAGTTTTTTATTTTCGTTTTTTACTTTTTTAATTGAATGGAGATTTTTGTACGTTGAACTTGTTTTTCTAGCTTTTGTAGCTCTTTTTGCCTTTTCTGTTTTGAATATTGTTCTTCACACTTGGAGAATTGTTCTTAATCGTTTCTTAAAAAAAAAACAATATTGTTTTTGTTTATTCCAACCACTGGTTCTCTCACTTTACTTGTTGTCGCCTTGAGTTTTCTTTGTGAACTGAGTTGATAAATACGCGTGGCTGGACATATATAATTTCGTAGCGTTGAATACAAAACAATAACAACAACACATCGATACAAATAAATGTGCACACACAGATACATATTAATACAAAAATACGACGTAGTATAGTTGTCGTTCGTCTACCCTATGAACGAACGGTTGTACTCCATTTTTAGTATGTCTCTCTGCACGTTGTTGCTCATGTTGTTGTTGCTGTTTGATGATGACGCCAAAGACACTTGTCCAACAACTCTTTGGGTGCAAGTATGAATACAATCAAGTCGTTTGCCGTTTTCAAGATGTTTGTTTTTCTAAATCGCCATAAAAGATAATGCATTTAGAAGAGGTACCTAGGAATGAAAGATTTCGAAAGGTAGTATTTTTGAAAATAGATCTGATTAAGTGTTAATTGAGTACAAAAATTGATATGAGAATATTATATTTTAGGAGGTGTTCAAGTTTTTTATAATGGTTACCGTACCTTACAAGGTAATTTAAAGCAACTCTTTTCTGCATTAAAAAAAGGTTGAAAATAATGAAATTTTCCTTAAAAAAAACGAAAGAAAGAAGTCTGTAGGTTTTGCCGACAGGTTTATACCCTAAGCCAATGTTCGATTATTTAAATATATTTTGACTCCTGTTATAATTATTCAAATTGTTAATCCTCTATGGAGTAGGTTCTGAAGGAATGGGTCAATGTCCATTTTGTATCGGACCTAAATAAATATGATATATGTATTGCGTCGTGCCATGGTAGAAGAATTTAGGTAGATGCATCAACTCTTGGGAACATTGATATGTCAAATGTTTTTTTAAAAGTTATATCAAAAATAAGCAGATTTGTATGTGTTTTCTTATACGACGCCAATCGGAGATTGTTATGGTATTCATTTTCAACAATTTTTACGAATTTTAATAACTTTTCATTGATCATTTTCAATTCCAAATTTAGTTTGACAGTTCATTGTCCCATCAGCTGTGTCGATGCGACTACCTGTATTCTTCTACTATGCGACGTGCCAATTTTTGACTATAGTGTGATGATTTTAAGAAAATTTGCGTGATTTACCAAACATAGGCGACCGAAGTATTCCATTTTCATACTTTATCTAATACCGATAAAATATAGGTATGGTAGAAAATTGAAAAATGATATCCAATTTTATGTGAAATCATAAATTCCACATTCATATCAGAATTCTGGTTGAGAGCAATATTTATATATAACGAGTTGTAAAAAATCACTGACTTGTTTCGCAAGTTATGACAGATAAAAGTATTGAAAATTGTGATCCTTTGTGGGTGAGCTACCAGAAGGAGTTCGCAGACATATATGATCATCATTACAACAGATCTTGTTTTAGCAAAAATGTTTGTATGTATGAAATTTGAAGAGAGTTGGATGCTTGTTTCGCTTTCTGTGAGCGTTTTGTTTTTCAAAATCTTGAACCCTATATGGGAGGGTACCAGAAGAAATGGTCCGATCTCTACCATCTTATAACAGAAGTTGTGATGATGGAAATATTGAGATGTAGTCTGAATGAAATCGGATGTTAACTTCGCGTTTTATGAGCTTCATGGATATATTTTGATCCTTTGCGGAGAAGGTATCAGAAGGAATGGACCGATATATTCCATCTTCACAGCCGATCTTGGGTTAACAAAAATCTTGTGATGTGTGTAATTTGGAGACTATGGCACTCTTACATCACATTTTATGAGTTATAATTATTCACTATTTTGACCCTTTGTGGGGAGGTACCCGAAAAAGTGGAACGATATTGTCCTAGCACTGATGCAAATATTAGGATTGGCAAAGTTGGAGCAGAATCGGATTATCCTTTCTTTTTCTGTGCAGTTTGAGAATTTCGACCTTTTGTGGGGAAGTTATCAGAAGAAGTGGACCAATGTTTTCCATCTCCGAACTCAATCAAAGTTTGAAAATAATATTTCGATGTAAGTTTGGACCAAATTAGATACTCCCTTCGAGAGATATCGTGCGCACCCGCCAGCCAGACCGACAGACGGATGGACATCGCTAGATCTTCTCCAAATATCCTGAAACGGATTTGGTCCAAAGAGACATAGGGTCTATAACCGTTATTTCTATGAAGCGTGTTTTGGTCGTATTATATAATATATACCCTCTCTAGCCATATGGCTGAGGGTATAATAATGAGTGGATGGTTCAATAACAGGAGAGTACAAAAAAGGTGGAGCAAGTAAGGAAGCAACTTAGTTCGGCCGGGCCGAAATTTTAATACCCTCCACCATTTTGAAGGAACTTGAAAAACGTCCAAAAAATTCCGTCGTCCAAAGCAAAACCGTGATAATGGGGGCAATACGAAGACGAACTTTAAATACGAAATTTGAAATAATTCCGGTGAATACTGCTGCTAATATCATCAAAATACCAAATAAAGGGAGGGTCCGTTATATATGGGCTATATGAGGAAGTGGAACTTAATAGACAACTCCCCGCCGGAGGCCGTACTACCCATTACGAGCTCCAAATACGAATTTTGAAACAATTTCGATTAATAATGTTCTTAAAATCATATGAAGATGTGGATCTACAGATTTAAAACGTTTTTCTTGCCTAGGTTTCTTAACATGAATTTTTGCTCGGTTCAAAGACTGCAAGAATGTTAAACTTTTTACTACGAACCGGTATTTCCTTTATAATATTGAAAAAAAAAATTGCAAAATCTTGCAGCTTCTGGAACAGAGCATTTGTGTATTTAAGTAGTTCCTGAATGGTTCTATGTGAAAAGTGATTTAGGCTCAATATTTCAATATCTTCATTTTATTTGCTCGGTGGATCATTCTGAATCACTTCTATTGAAAATCTTAGATATTAAATAGAATTACCCATTTATGGTTAGCCAAATATCGCATATTTTCCTATGTCTGGTTTGATTTTTAATACAAATCACAGTAGATAGGCAATTAGTTGAAATAATGCGGAGAATCTATTAAAATGTGCGCAATTATTAACTGGTAATCTTAACAGCCATAAAATTCCGATTATATAGTTATTTTGATTATAAATAAATATTTGGGTACAGTAAACATTTTTTATCAAACTTTTTTACTCGCAACGTTTTGATTGTGTTTCGTTGCCTGTGTCTGAGTCGTTTTTATTTTCTATTGACTGTCGCAGCATGTAGTTGTGTTTCCCTCTCCATGTGTCTGTTCTTATCGTTAAAGACTTTACGGCGAGAGACGTCTCTGACTCTCTAAATTGTTCTTTGTTTTTCTTTCGAACATCTCCTATACGAATTGTGTAGTTTTTTCGTTTTATTTGTTATTGTTTCTATTTTCTGCCGGTTTTATGTTATTTGCCACAATCGTTTACTGGCTACGTCTGGGTCTTTCGCCTGCCATTCAAAGGTCTGGTGTTTTGTTGTTGTGTTTGGGTGAAGTAAGATTTAGACCTCATACATTGTAATACATGACAGCGCCAACACATGGTCGGCGGGTAAAAAAACCAAAACAAAACATAACGTAAGCAGACTTTCTCGTCTAGCTCACCCACTAACAAAGCCACTTATGTATTTATGTAGATAAGTGTGTGTGTAGGTATTTACTGCGAACGTTTTACGCACTTAAAAAGAGGGGTGTGTTAATGGCATAGATAAGTATGACTGCCAATTATACACTCAAAGAAAAAAACACCAAACTTTTGGTAGTATTTTTTTTAGATTAATCTTAAAATCCAAGGAAGAATCAGGTCTGAGGAACCAAAAAAATAACTACAGTATCTTAGCAAATAATATTCTTTCATGCAATATATGATTGTTATCAAATTTACTACGAGAAGAAACTTAAATTTTTTATTAGTGTATAGGGTACTCGAAGTAGCCGTAGTGCAAAAGTTTACTGTTTTTATTTATTTAACAGAAAATGGAGTTTTAGAATAAACTTACCAAATTTCTATGCAAAAGCTAAACTCGTACAGCTTACATTTATACGGCAACCCTGTTTCGAACTACGTTCAACTTCATGCGATTGTTGGAAAATGTATTTGGGGAAGTCCCTTAAAGCTAATTTATCACAAACTTCCACGTGTTGTGTAAATTATTGACGTAAATATTAAAAAAAAAAATAAAAAAAAATGGGACAACAACAAGGACAAACCACGGTTGAAGTAAAAATTTTAGTCATTGAACATTACATTGAGATTGTTAATAGAGTCCGATCTACAGTTCAGTACATCATAAAATGGTTCAAAACAGATGGATGTGTTGAAAATAAGTCAAAAACGGCAAATAATAAAATTATTACCTTGAGTGGTGAGTAGTACAGGGTGAGATGAAAAAACTAGAACCAACTTCACACTGCTGTCACTCGTCCGACAGCTGCTAAAATTATTCCAGTGACAGCTCATTATACAGGGTTGTCCATATTCGACAGACCCATCTGGCAACGCCATAACTTTTGACAGAGATGTCACATCGCTTAATGACATACCGCGTTTGAAGCGTCAGTCCAAACAGATTTTTACCATGAATCAATACACGCCACGCGAGCGCTCTGAAATAGTTGAAATTTACATTCAGCAGAAGAAGTCAATTGTGAAAAAAAAAATGTGAGAAGTGCGCCTTCTAAGAACACCATTAAGCGTTTATACGAAAAATTTTCGACTGGTAAGCCTCTTTCTAATCCGAAGAGGCCATATAAAAGTCGACCAAGGCGATCGGCCGAGAATATCGCTGCCGTACGAGCCAATGTTGAGAGGTCCCCAAGAACATCCCAAAAACGCCGTTCTCAGCAGTTGGGCATGGCTCGGTCCACTTTACAACGGATTATTCGCATTGATTTGCATTTGTTCCCGTACAAAATTCAATTGACGCAAAGAATGTTGCCTGCGGACAAGCCTCGTCGATTGGAATGGGCCCAAAGGTCCGTCGAATATGGGCAACCCTGTATTGTTTACAAGCTTACAAAAGCATTTTGGTGAGAATTTTCCAGAAAAAAAGTTATTCGTGATGGAATACAAGCGTGATAGTATGATTTCTTTATATTTGGCTGGAAAAGCAAAAGTGGCTATCGTTAAAGCACTCCTGCATTTAAATGTGAATAAATCTTTTGTGTCCCGTACCATCGCTCGTTACCGTGATACTGGTAGGGTACTCCGACGTCAAGGAAGTGAACGGAAGAAAACAGCAACATCAGCAGAAATGGTTCGAAAAGTAAAGAAGCGACTCGATCAAAATCCGCGTCGCAGTGGCCGAAAAATGGCTCGTGAGCTGAACTTAACGCAATATTCAATTCGGCAAATATTGAAAAATGAGCTCGGGGTAAAGCCATTGAAATTCCAAAAAGGGCAATAACTTACACTGCAACAGAAATAAAACAGACTCAAAAGAGCTAAAGAGTTGCTTCGCTTAGTCGAAAGTGGTAAACTGCCGAATTTGGTTTTCTCCGATGAGAAAACATTCGTTGTCCAGCAGTTTATAAACAAACAAAATGATCGTGTTTACTTGCCAAAAAGGTCAGCTGAAAATGTGCACCTTCGGTTGGCCACCAGAACTCAGGCGCCGGCCATGGTGATGGTGTGGGCCGCCATAACAGCCGATGGTCGCTCTCCGCTCGTATTAAACGACCGTGGCATCACAATAAATACCGAATATTATCGCTAAAATATTCTGGAGGAGAAAATAATAATTTTGGCCGCAGACCTTGGATATTCCAACAGGACTCACCAACATCACATTCAGCACGCGCCACTCAAGAATGGTTACAAAATGAGATTCCTCGCTTTATTTTCAGCGGACAGTGGCCACCAAAATCTCCGGATACCAATCCGTTGGACTATTGTGTCTGGAATATTTTGGAAAGCAAGGTTGGCACTAAAAAATACCAAAGTGTCGATCACCTCAAGCAAGCGCTTCGCCGGTAATGGCCATAAATCGGGCCAAAGGTAACCTAGTTGAACAAATCTAAACTTATTCTAAAATTTGATGCTATTTCCGTTTGACTTTGTTGCAGTTTTTTATCTCACCCTGTATATTTTACGACAGATCAAAAAGGAGACATTTTTGAGTACACCGAAACTAGCAAAAATTTCTGAAAAGGATTTGAGAAAAGTATGTTGCCCTCAAACAATAAGAAATATACTGCATACGTCGAATTACAATGGAAGAAGAACTAGATAAAAACTTCTAATCAGCAAGCGAAATTAAGAAGTAAGATTGCGATTTGCCGAGCAGAATATATCAAAAGATTTTTCATTTTGGAAGAATGTGCTGTTTACGGACGAGAGCAAATTCAACCTTTTTGGATCAGATGGCAGACCTTATAAATATGAAAGCCTACAGTGAAGCACGGTTGTGAGGCAGTAATGGTGTGGAGTTCATTTTCAGCCTCCGGGCCTGGTGTATTGCATTTTACTGAGGGTATCTGGGATCAGACTATGTACCTTAACATTTTGAAAGAAAGTTTGCCACTCTGTAAGTAAAAGTTCGGCCTTGGCGAAGTTTATTATTTTTTTCAAGACAATGAACCGAAACACAAGGCTTATGAAGTTCGGTCCGGTTGTTTTACATATAATTGTCCCCACATCATGGATACCAGCCCAGAGTCCAGGCATAAATCCCATAGGGAGTTTATGAAGCTATCTCGATGGAAAAATCCGCCAGCTTGCCATATCTTGCAAAAAAGATTTTAAGAAGACATTTGTTGGAATATTGGCAAAAAAACTGAACCTAAATTTTGCGAAAAACTTTTTGAATGTTACCAAATAGCCTACAAATGGTAAAAAAGTAAAGGAATGCATAAAAAATATTAATGTCTAGAAATACTTGAAATTAAACGAAGTATACGAGTTTAACTTTGACATTGAAATATGATCTCTTTTAATATTTATTTATTTTTTTACTTTAAATGAATTAAAATGTTAAGTTTTTTTTTGATTTTTAAATTACTTACTTTTTTTAAATTTTGATTTTTGAAAGTTGTAAGAAAAAAAAAATTTTTTTTCTTTAGCTATACGAGTTTCGCTTGGAGTTACTGTATTTTATTTTCAAAGGTTTTCGTTTCCTCCATAAGCAGAAGGGATCACAAATTTGAACCGGCGGATCTTAAAGCCATTCTTACTTCTTAGTACTTACACATTCTCTTTGAAGGTTATAGAACTTCTTCGAGAATTCAGCTTTACTGAAAAAATAATACTTTATGATATCAACAATTTAAAAATTATTGATAGATTTCGAAACCGAAATCGCTTAACATATTTTACCGGTCTTTCAGTTAAAAATATCAATAAAATTCTTATATTTATAGAAGATTTTAATCAAACATGCCAGCAATTGATTTCCAGTCTACTCAGATGTTTCCACATCGATAGATGTGGACAAACAAGTTTATTTTACTCTCATTCAACACTTAATTGCAAACCTCTTGCCACCCAGAGTTCTAATCATGTAATGAAATCACTTGCGTGTAAAGTGGACTTCGTCACATGTTTGCATGCCGTCTAAATTATATATTCCCATAACCTTTTCAAGTGGTTCTCAAGTAAAAGTCAACATTGCCAATAAATTGATAGTAAATCTAGGAACTATTTTTTTAATATTAGGTTTTTTGCAATACAATAATTATTGTTTATGAAAAAAAAAAAAAAAAAACAAAACAATATTTAACTGCTTACAATGAACTCACACAATATTGCTCATGATCATGCTTTGAGAACATGTTTCGGGGAAACTACAGTACGTGCTTATTTATTCAAAGTCGGGAAAATATATAGGTGAATAGGTACATGACTAATTGTTTACCCTCTCTAAAGGAAATTAAACAAGTTAAAAAGCAGTATGTTCGGCCGGGCCGAACTTTGAATACCCTACACCATTTGGAACGAATTTAGAAATTTTCAAAAAATAAAATCCGTTAAAAATTCTGTTAAAATCTTAAAAATATCGAATATAGCCGTTATATTGTGTTCTATACGACGTGGACCCACATAGGCATTGTTTGTTATAAGCCATCGCCATATTCAAATTCGAAACTTGAAATAAACGGTGAATAATGTAGCTAAAATTATCAAAATACCGTATATAGGGAGGTACCGTTATATGGGGGCTATACGAAGACGTGGACCTGCATAGACAATTTTCTGTCACAGGCTGTAGCATTCATTACGAACTTCAAATACGACATTTCAAACAATTTCGGTAAGTATTGTACCTTAAATCGTCAAAATACCGAATATAGGGAGGTACTGATATATGGGACCTATACGAAGACCTGGACCTGAATAGACAATTTTCTGTCACAGACTATAGTTCCCATTACGAACTCTAAATACGCAATTTGAAACTACTACGGTGAATAATGTCGCTAAAATCATCAAATTACCGAATATTGGGAGGTACCGTTGTAGGGAGGCCATACGAAGACGTGGACCTGCACAGACAATCTCCTGTCATAGGCTGCAGCATCCATTACGAACTTCAAATACCAAATTTGAAACAATTCCGGTGAATAATGTCGCTAAAATAGTCAAAATACCGAATATCAGGAGGTACCGTTATATGGGGGCTATACCAAAACGTGGAACTACATGGCTCATGCGGACATATCATACATTTGAGTAAAATTTTATCAATCTACTTCTATTCGTTCGGAAGCTAGAAAGATTTCCACAGACGCACGGACATCGCTAAATCGACAAAAAATGGTACCTCCTTATTTTCGGTATTTTGATGATTTTAGCGACATTACTCACCGATTTATTTTTCAAGTTTCTCATTTGAATATTGTAATGGTCTAGAGAGGATATATATCATTTGAGACGGCCAAAACGTGCCTCATCGAAAATTAACTGCCGAATTTGGTTTTTCCGATGAGAAAACATTCGTTGTCCAGCAGTTTGAAAACAAACAAAATGATCGTGTTTACTTGCCAAAAGAGGTCAGCTGAAAATGTGCACCTTCAATTGGCCACCAGAACTCAAGCGCCGGCCATGGTGATGGTGTGGCCCGCCATAACAGCCGATGTTCCCTCTCCGTTCGTATTAATCCACCGTGGCATCAACATAAATTCAAATATTAGGGCGAAAATATTCTGGAGGGTGTATTAAAGCCTTGGGAACCCAAACATTTTGGCCGCAGACCTTGGACATTCCAACTGGACTCAGCACCATCGCTTACATCGATTACAACTATAGAATACATTCCGTTTTTTTTCGAATGAATTATTCAAATTTTTCACTATTTTCGGATAAAACTATAGAATAAATTCAGATTTTTATCTGAATTTCGTATCAAACATCCAAGAATTTTTTCGAATTTCGTATCAAACATCCTATAATTTTCCGATTTTCGAATGAATTATTTGAATTTTTCCCAATTTTCGTATAATTCTATAGAATAATTTCAGATTTTTTTCCGAATTTCATATCAAACATCCTATAATTCTCCTTTTTTCTTTGGCGAATTCGCACCGAATCTCTTACATTCTTTCAGATTTTTCTCCGAAAAAAAAAAAACTTTCAGAATCTTGGGAAATCTCACAAATTTTTTTCCGAGTTCGTTCCAAATTCCACATCAGAATCGGAAACTTGTGCAGAGTTTTCTCCGAATTCGGAAGAAAATAGGGAAAAAATGTTAGCTGGGATGCTGGATCTTTTCGATTTGCATAGCAAATCTACCTACCTCAATCTGAAGTTGTATGGCAACGGTCTTTGGAAGCTTGTGAGTTTTTAATATTGGAGTTGGATTCAAAACTAATACTTGGACCAACATATCGATAAAAGCTGATGTCTCATATTATAAATTTCAAATAAATGCTGAAAGATATTATACTATGTGTGCTGCTGTGTGAAATGTGTCCCGAAGAGCCTAAAAGTATGCTCTATGAAAAATTTTAATGCTGAATATACAATGGGTATAACCCTAGTTAAAAATATGATCCATAAAATTTTCTGCTTTCTCGGAACAGAAAATACCATTTTGATGCAGAATCAATTTCCTAAAAAAAAAAACAGTTAATTCAATTCAATTTAAATCGTGTGCCGCAGTAATACAGAACGTTTCGTTGATATTGATTCGAAAAGAACCAAATCTTTGACCTAATGCATTTTAATTTCAAGTTTTGCAATGTCATATAAATCCCTTTGGTATATAAACCCTTCTGTTAATACAGAACGTTTTAATCGGCAATTTTTTCGGACAGAGGCTTCCTTTTTCCAAACTGCAAAATCTAAACCACAATAGTTTTGTTTTTTTTTTTCTTTTAATATAATTTATTTTTATTAAAATTTTCTTTAAATATTTTATTTATAATAAATTTAAACTATTTCATTAAAGTGTCACTTTAACAAAATTACAAAATAATTATATTATAATAATAATTATATGCATTGCAAATTATTAATATCCTCTGTTGAATATACTTGAATTCTTATTCAAAAAATATATATTTTTATATAAATATTGGAATTTTTTTAATTTTCTTTGCTGATGCAAATTTAACAAGTTACAAAAAAAACTTTTACAGTATTAAATGAATAAAGAAAAAAATTTAAACTATTTAAAAAACCACCGGAAGCAAATAATAAAACGTCTGGAAGTTAATAGAGAGCGAGAAAGAGATTAAAGCATTTTCACTTGCAATTTAAATGTCTTAAAAAATAACATAGACACAGTGATAGTACAGGACGTATAGGGTGTAGAGAGATAGAGTTCCAACTTCGGGTTGCTAATTATTAGAGATACCATACATATATTGGCTTATAAGTTTGAGTTGTAATTGGACTTTTGATAATGCTCTTTGTTTTTTGTTTCTTCTTCTTAACAGTGAAAGTTATCGATAGGTTTTTTAAAAAAAGTGTTGCTACAGAGAAATATGTTAGTAGTTTAATCTAATTTTAGACTAAATTATATAGCTGGTATTTTTGAATTTTCCTGTTTTTGTTTTTCTTTAATTAAAAAATACTACCGTTTTATTGAAAATTACTATTTAAGTATATTTATATTTACAATATTGTAATACCTTATAAAAACTTTACAATATATATTTTTATAATTTTAATATCTTCCAAATTTATACTCGACTTTTGCAACATTGTTTTTTGTTTTTTGTTAACATGCAGCAATAGTGAAGTTTTCAAAATGTATCCTCTCTTTCTTTCGAGGATTTATGTTTAATATCTCCTTATTATTTTTAATGTTAATGCTTAAATATAATATCTATATTTTTTATTTAATATTTTCTTCATACAAACATATATTTATGTTTTATATAATTTTTTTTCTCTGTATTATATTTGTCAAAATTTTACTTTACACTGTCATTGTATTATAAAGCTTTTGTTTTGTATTTGTTTGTAATTTATGTTTAGTAATAATATTATTTGTTGTTTATTAATTATTTCAATTTAATATAATAATTGTTATTATTACCTATATTTGGCGTTGAAGAAAACCTTTTCTAATAAATTTTCATTGTTGTTTATTTTATTCATGTTTTATTCTTTGATAATGCAACGCTATGTGGTGCAATCGAAAATGGGGTTCCAACGAGCCCATGAATGATTTTAATATTACCAAGGGTAATAGAAAAAATCCGCCACTAAGGCTTTTCATTATAACCACTTTCGATCTGAATTATTTCAGTCCACATCTTGGGAATGTTTGTTTTCCGTTTATATTCATTCTTTAATCCATTTCCCGAAGGAGTTAGCCTTAAGAAAATTTGTTCAAAAACAAAAACATCGAACTAATTATGCCGTTCTAAGATTACTTTCAATAAGGCTTACTGATATTTGTCCATGAATAGACAACTAGCTCAAAGGAAGCATATCTGCCACAAGGATGCTTTCTAGAAACACAAAAAAAAAATATAGTTTCAACTGATAAACGAAGGTGTGAAGGGTAATAAAAATTAAACTGTGTAGAAAACCATTAATTCATAAAATGGATCGAATACTGAAATCTGTATTCGAGATTATTCAACAAGCTTTAATGCTTCATCACGTCATTGACATTAGTACTCTACGATCTCCATAGATGCCAGTAACCCTAATCGGCATTCTTGAAAGACTGAGCTCCGAAAATTGCAGTAGAACATATCAATCATATGTGCTGATAAATATTGGATTAGTTATCCACTCTGAAACCGAGGTGACAATTTACAGATGAATCGGATATAAACAAGAATATTAGAAGGTATCGACAACTGGAGTTCTCAAAATTTTTTATAACTTTTAAATGTGTTACAACAATATCAAGCCAATTTAAATTATGTTTCCAAACCACTGGGATGCAAAATTTGTGAAAGATTCTTTGGCGAAAACCCCCAAAATGACCTGTTCGGATATTATCCCGATAACACAACGCAGGATAAAAGGGGGTAAAACCTATATAGGCAGTTAAGTTAATGAAATTTCTCTTTCTATTAAATTTTACTCGCTTGAACTAAAGGTCCAAGTACATAAAAAGCTTAACGTCATGGCTAGGTATATTAATGTCAAATTATAATGGAAAACGACGGCAGGATTTTAGTGCGGCTCTGTAATCCCTTTATGAAATGTCACTCAATATGCCTAGCCATGACTTCAAACTTCTTATGTACTTCCACTTTAAGTTCAATTTTTGAATTTCCAAGAAACTTTCCGATACACTGATATGTAAACTTTGTGAAAGTTTTTGGCGTAAAACCCCAAAATGACTTGCTTGCGAACAGTATAATTTGCATAGTAGCCAGATCACACAACAGGGATAAAACCTATAGGCCGTTAATTTAATAAAGGTTCTCTTAAAAAAAAAAAATTATTAACTTTTATTCCCTAGAACTAAATTAAAATTTTTACCAAGGAGACACATTATTGCACCAACGGACCTATCCATACGCCCATAGACCAGGGCCTGACGAATATAATCAAATCGCAATAAATCAGTCCATACAAAAGACGTATGAAATTACAAATTGGGGTAGTATATCAAACTCCTTTATCAAATAGTTCTAGTGTCGGGGAATGTCGGAAGATGAAAAGTTTGAGTGAACGCCTTCCAACTCCTGCTTCTAGTAATAAGCAGATGCCTAACATAAATTCACCCAGAAGATTTATCACTAGAAAAAACATTCACATGCTAATTCTAAATACGGAAATACATTTGAATCTGACTATTACGTCAAAAATTAACATTAGTTTCCAGGGGAAATCTAAAACAGAAAGGGTTATAACACATGGATTGGATCGGATATGGATAGGAAATGGCCATAAAAGCATCGTATCGTTTAGAATTTAGAACTTTCAACGTTTAGAGACAACGGATATCGCAAAAGATTATCAAAGTACAAGGCGATAAACATAGAACATGAAAATATGTTTTCCTGCTCTAAATTCTGTAACTTTGGAAGGGATATATTAACATAATTTGGAAAGTTAACAAAACTTTCTTTAAGAAAAGCTTCAGTGATTTTTAAAGAATTTTAGGACAAAATCAGACTTTTAAATTCATTCTTATTTCTTTTTGTAGTATAATGAAGGTTTCCGATGGTAATCCGACGATACTATTTTTATATATTGACCTAATTTTTGCTATCGCTACGGCAAATAGCAATAGGCAAAAACAAAAACAAAAAAGGGGAATGGGACAGGGTAATTGAATCCTGAATCACCTTGAGACGGTCTACCAATCAGTCTTGACAGATTATACAAGGACTTCAAAATTTTACAAGCAAAGGAAATCCCGTTGATCATTATGATTTCTTTACAATATATAAATAAAGAATCTGTGAAGGTAGACAACTCGGTCAAACGGAGAGACATTGCGATAACCCTAACATTGCCGCAACAAATTATGAATTTTGAACATTTTAGTATGCTACAGAATCTATACTTATTTCGATATTCAGAAAAATATTTCCAAGCACAAATTTAAATAGTTGGAAATGTCCAAAATATTGAATAGGTTTTAATCAATTGGTTAAATATTTGTGAAATAGGTGACACAAGTTAATTTATTTTTTAGTAATCTGCCAGAATTGATAACGATCTACGTATGAAAAAGTTTTTTTTTTTAATTTGTTTATAATTCGTTTTACAAAGTGTGGCGAAAATAATTACAATTTAATTATTTTTTTAAATGTATTTTTAGAAAAAATTCTCCTTTTTTGCAATTTTTTATAAATAATTTCCGTTTGCTTTCCATCCTCCGTTTTCGACAATCCTTATCTATTGAAATTGTTGGAACGATATTGAACCTTCATTACTTCTATGATCCATAATAACTCCCAACCAAAATTTGATTACGATAGACATGTTCTGTAACTTTTATCAATTGAATACAAATATTTGCATTTTTTGTAAAATAAACAATGAGTAAAGTTGTTAAAAAATTGCAGAATAAGCTCACAGGAGACATGGAAGACCATTCCAAGTGGATTACAAAAAGGCAATAAATACAATGTTATTGTAATCCAAAACAGTTTAAATTTTCAAAACATTTCTTGTTATTCTTTTTTCATTTTATTCGAATACAAATATCAGCCATTTCTTTCATCTATTCTTTGTTTATTGATTGCAAAATTATTAACAAAATATTTTACTTAATTATGACATTTAATTATAATGTATATATAAAGTTGCCTCAGTTGCAAATATGTATTGAGGAAATTTATGTGCAGGTATGTTGGTAATTTAAATAGATTATGAGGAGAAGACAATATTTATTCAATTTGTTTTTTGTTAAGTAAAACATAATATAAATTATGAAAACATATCTAAAAAAATTAAAATTCAAAATAATAACTAAAACTTATGTGACAATAAAATTATGCTACAAAAACAAATCGTGGGTGCTTTTAACTTGTACACATTACAAATAGATTGACTTTTAGTTATTTGTATTTAATATGTATGTATGTATGTATGCATAAGATAATAAGTAATTTACAAAATAGAAAAATAACTCTACATAGGGGCGGTGTTTAGAGAAGTTTCAATTGTTACAACTACAAATGTGCGAATTATTTTTCATAACGTAATTAGTTATTTTTTTTTTTTAAGCAAAAGCTATATTCAAATGTTTTTCTTACAAAAAGAAAATAAATTTGGTAGTAAATCAAAATTATGTAAAACAAATTTTTTGTCAAAATCAAACTAAAAGAAACAATTTTGTATGTAATAAAATAAAAAAAAAGAAAACAATGATTAAAATGCTGTAGTGTTATCCCAGAGGTTAAAGTCAGATTGATTTAGTATTTAAAGAAAGCTGTTAAGACATAAGTTTATATAGTGAGATTCCAAAATTGAGTATGGAGATTCAGATATATGCATGACATGCATAATTCCAGGTGAATTTAATATTCAACCTGACCATGACCTCACTAATTTGCAATACATATTTCCTTTGACAAATCATTGTTAGAATAGAGTTATTGGAAAAAAAAAGTATTCCATTGTTTGTGGTTTTTAAAAACTGGTTCTTTTTGGAAAAAAAACCCTGATCACTTATTGACATTTTCTCAGCCTTGAATTTAGGCCATGATGGAATTCAAAAAACAAAGATTTAAATTGAAAAAAGAATAATAAATCCTAAAAGGATATAAGAGTGGTTTATCTTTTTAGAAAAAACCCTCATCACTTATTGAAATTTTCTCAGCCTGGAATTTAGGCATGAAAAATAAGGATTTAAATTGAAAATACAATAATAAATCCTAAAAGGATATAAATTGGATTATTTTAGAAAAATTCTCATCAAATATTGCAATTTTTATCCTTGAATTCAGGCCATGATGAAATTTAAAATTATTTTAGAAAAATCCTCATCAAATATTGCAAATTTTTATCCTTGAATTCAGGCCATGATGAAATTTAAAACCAAAATTTAAATTGAAAATGGAATTATAAATCCTAAAAGAATAAAAGAGTGGGGAAAAGAAAGGCTCTTTTGTTATGGAAATCTCTTGATAAATAGTTAGTTTATTATATTTTTATATTTTTGTAATAAAAATAATTATGTCAAAGTGTGATAGGAAGCTAAATTAAAATTGTGTCCTTTAAATGGCGTTTTAAGAGAATATAAAAAACCACAAACAAATGTTTTCTTCCAAATTAGTTTTATGCTTCTCCTAAATTTTCATATTGCAAATTATACCCGATATTATTGGGATTTGGGTTTAACGAAAACAGCGATAATAGATAAAGAAAAATAAACTTAAAACAATTACGAGCAGCATATGGAATAGATTTGTATCTAAGGCGATATCCCACCATTTGGCTATATTTGCATTTTAGGAAGCATTCGTTGCTGCGGCTGATGTTGAGGCCGCTTGTCGGTAATAAATATTTGCCCCCTTAACGGGCAATGGATGAGCTTCGGTATTGAATACCCATTCGTCCAAGGGTATCAGTGAATCATCCGAAAACAAGAGATATAAATACTAAAAGAAATAAAGACATAAATTGTTTTTTTTATTATTTTAATAAATTAAATTAAAAATATTTCATGTGATTACCTTAAGTGTTTCGGCCAAAAAGAAACTCTGTTGTACATCGTCTTTTTGCGGTACCTCCTGATAGACATTCTTAATACCCGAATAGCCATGAGGAGTGCGACAATGTTGTTCCAAAGCCTGTACAGCATCCCAGCCCCAATCACGATACTTTTGATCGTGTGTCAAACGCCACAGTACAAAATAGCTTTCCACTGTTTCTGGTCTTAGAATATAGTATTTCTCATTCGATTTCAAGGCACGGGCCTCGGCGGCTTCGCTAAAGCTGTAATGAGAATTATGTAGATAATTTAAGAGATTATTCAAAGATGAATGAATTGTAGAACAAGTTGCATGGAAAATACAAACTAAACTATAAGACAAAATAACATTATAACATTATATTAAGAGAACCAAAGGACAGATTTGTTGCAGATCGATGAAGTTTTTGCAAGTGGCCCTAAGTATATCATGAAATCACTTTATCAAATTTATATATTTGCTAGTAACCCTAAATTGTATCATGAAATCGCTTTATACATCTGTTTGCAGCTTGTGTAGCTTCTTTTTGAGACAATTGAATGAGGATTTTTTTGTGGAAAATTTCGTTTGCATAACTCGAATAATCTTTTCGTCTTTTATTTCTTGAACGGGAAGTATAGTTCAAAAAGAAGAGATATTTCTATTTCGAAATTTTCTACGTTTCTAACGAATAAGAGAACGATGTTTTGAAGTTTTTATGGCATTTTTTAACATTTATCTGACAATTGGAAATATTTTCTTTCTGCGTCCACTAAACATTGAAAACGGCCATACATGCTTAGGAATAGTGGATTTCTATCGAGAGTTTGAAGTCTAAGATGAATTCAACCAGAGCTCCCAAGTACTAGAATATGAAAAAAATTAAAGAACAAAATCGATGGATGGTGAAAGTGGAGCCGAAAACAGAAGACACGTTTATCAGCATTTTGAATGTTTACATTGCAAAGTAACCTAAATGAAGGGGACAACCCTCTTCAATTTGTTTTAATTTTCGGATTAAGTTTTCTTGAAATTCCTACACTTTTTAGCTTTATAGTGTCTTCAGCAATATTTTTGATAACAATACGGAGATTTTTTGGTAGACAATTTTAAGCTTCAAAAGTGTTACCAAAGGGGTCGTTTAGGTCATTTTTATAACCTACGCCACAGAGTGGTAAGGGTATTATGTCTTTGTGCATTTGTTTGTAACATGGAGAAGGAAGCGATATAGACCCATAGTTACTTTTGAGGATCTTTATAGAATCACTTTCTGAGTCGATTTATGCATGTTAGTCCGTCCGTCCATGTATTCTTGTGAACAAAATGCAGGTCGCATTTAAAATCCGATTGAGATGAAATTATGCAAACGATATTTCTTTGGCCCAAGGACGAACCCTATAGAAATTGGTGGTAATCGGATCAGTTTTAGATATAGCTATCATAAATATTTATCCGATTTCGGGTTAATTGTACACCAAATAGTTAATATAAGTCAGAATGACCTGTATTCTTGTACATCCCACCGAATTCGGTCTAGAAGCAAGTAAATCAAAATTGGAGAAAATTGGTTCAGATATGGACCTAGCTCCCATATATATGTTTCATCCGATTTGGGGTTTTAAGTCCCTCACATACGTAATGTGCACTTCAGGAGAATGATATTTGGTACCGGACATCATATACTGACCGAAAACACCTCCATCAAATTTTATCAAGATCGGGTCAGATTAGGATGTAGCTTCCACATATATCTTTATCCGATATCAGGTATATTCAGCTCCAAATGGCTAATATCAGCCCAAATTGACTGAATTTTGGCAATTACAACTGAATTCATTCTATAAATCGATACTTCCAATTTGGTGTAAATCGGTTCAGATATAGCTATAAAACCCATATAGATGTTTTATCCGATTTGGGGTTTAAAGTTCCTAGCAAGCGTAATATGCTTTCCACAACAATGATCTTTGGTACCAAGTATCATATACAGCTCCGAAATAAGTGTATTCAATTTTCGAAATAAGTGTATTAAAATTTCAAGATCGTTTCAGATTTGGATATAGCTCCCATATATATCCTCAACCGATTTCGGTGAATTTTGGCATATCCGACCGAATTCAGACTAGAAACAAGTACATAAAATTCGGAGAAAATAGTTTCCATATATATGTTTCATCTGATTTTGTGTTAAAGTACCTCAAATTCGTAATATGCATTCGACAACAATGATATTTGGTACCAGTTATCAGATACAACCCCAAATTTTATCAAGATCGGTTCAGATTTGGATATAGGTCCCACATATATCTTCAACCGATTTCGGGTTAATTGTGCACCAAATGGACCGATATATTCCATCTTCACTCCTGTTATAATTATTCAAAATTTGGATTTTTGTGGGGGAGGTACATGATGAAGTGGACCGATATTGTCCATTTTTCCACCTCTCACTGATGCAAATATTATGATTTGCAAAGTTGGAGCAAAATCGGATAATATTTTCTCTTTTTGAGCAGTAATTTTTTTTTTTTTGAAAATTTTGACCTTTTGTTGGGAATGTACCAGAAGGTGTGGACCGATATTGCCCATCTCCGAACTCGATAATAATTTTATAATGGAACAAATCGGGAACTACCTTCGAGAGTTATCGTGAGCCCCAAGATCAACTCCAAATGTCCTGATACGGATTTGGTCCAAAGAGACATGAGGCACGTTTTGGCCGTATCAAATGATATATACCAACTTGGTGGAAATAAAATTGTTTTTTCCCTAATGTTCGGTCCCGCCGAATCTAATTGCTTTTTTATTTGTTTTCCAACTTTTCTATAGCTCTTAAAAACTACCGCTACCGCTAAACTTTACCGCTACTTACCGGAAAGCCTCTGGCCCCAAATGCGTTGTTGTTCTAATATAACTTTCGTGGCAGGTATTCGTAATACCTTTGCCAATATTCATGAATTTTTCGGTATGTTCGTTTTGTCTTGTATTAGCACCCAAGGCAAAAAGGCCACCTATTAAATGGACAAAAAGAAAAAAAAAGATTAAACAAAGTTTCAAATGACTTACGTTTTGACATACCAGCAAAGCAGGCTAAATGATCCATTTTATGTTCCAGTCGATCGAACTTCAAATCCGATACATACGTCAAGCCATTTGGACTTGTGCGCACCATTTTATCAATAATGGCAACCATTGCCTCGTCAAACATTTGTCTGGCTTCTTCGTCGGTCTGTCCAGACTGTATCCAGGCTTTCAGCAGATACTCATAGAAACTATCACCCAATGCACCCAGAGACATGTGTACTGCAATTAATGGAAAAAAGGAGATGTATTATTTTATTTTGAAAATTGCAGAACTTCATACTTACATTGCCCCCATTTTCCAGTTTTTGGATTCAAAAAGTTGGGATATAATCCTTTGGGTTTTTCAATATCTTTCAAAATCTGTCGAATGGTCTGCACGCGTTCTTTGTACAATGGATTGCCGGTAATATCGCTCAAATAGCTAAACTCCAAATGTAATGTACCGAATTCGGAGAGAATCGAACTGGCGCCCGATGCCCATCCGTAGTTTTTACTCATGCCTGTTTTGGGATTTACCAAGCCATATGGTATACCAGTGGGGGTTTGGAATGCGGGTAATAGCTTATCGGCAACATGTTGAGCTTTATCTTTGTACAAAGCATCACCGGTAAAGGCATACATGGTTAGTAGACCCCCAATAAAACGAATATTCGTTTCAAATACTGACAGATCGGCGGTTACATTGTCGAGAGAGAATTTCCGCTCTATCCAGTCGCGTCCCTCTTTGTACTCATTCTCCAGGCCCATTATGTACAGGGTATCGAGTCCATCGATTATGGTGGCACCCAGTTCCTGGGAACCAAATATACTACCAATGTGGGCACGTTGTGATAGCGGGCGTAATTCGTTTTTGCCCCAAGCGTAAAGTTTGTAATTTTCCCAGGCATGTTGCATCATCTGAAATGATTGAATTGGCGAAAAAAAGGTGGACGGTTAGAATAACGTGTAATTAACTCATTAAAGAAAAGAGAAGAAAATTTTGAGAATTTACCAAAACAAAAGAGGACAGAGAGAGAGAAAATAATAGGAATGTAAGAATAAATAGGAAAGTGATTTTGAAACTTATCCTGAATAACCAATAACTAATAATAATTAAAAACGTCGACGAAAACTCAATATTTAAGGAGTTATGGTCATTTTAAAGTATTTAATAATACACTCCTAAATAACTGATCATAAATAATAGCTAAAAACGTTCAAAACTCAATATTTAAGGGCTAATGGTCATCTTAAAGAAGTTAAATGGAATCAGTCGGTATTACCGACAGCTGCATACCCTCAGCCAATGTTCGGTTATTTAAATATATTTTGACTATAATTTATGATTTAGGTTCCAAAGAAGTGGGCCAATATTTTTCATTTCAAATCTGACATAGGCCTGATAAAAATTAATGTTTATGGAAATATTGAAATATACAAATATGAATGGAATCGGAATCGGAAATGAATGGAAAATTTTGACTCTTTGTGGGGGAGGTGCAAGAAGGAGTGGACCGATGTATCCATTCTTCACATCAGACCTTGGGTTAGTAAAAATATTGAGATGTATGTAATTTCAAGAGAACCGGATGCTTATTTCGAATTTTATGATCGTTTCGGTTATTCAAAACTTTGACTCTTTGTGGGGGAGGTACCAGAAGAAAAGGTCTCTACCATCTTTATAACAGACCTTGTGTTAATGGAAATATTGGAATGTACCAAGTCTGAATGGAATCGGATGTTAATTTCGCTTTTTATGAGTTTCATGGATGTTCAAAATGTTGACCATTTGTGGGGAGATACCAGAAGGATTGCACCGATATAGACTATCCTCACACCAGTCTTTGGGTTCATAAAAATTGTGTGATACGTGTAATTTGAAGACAATCGGACTTTACATCACATTTTATAAGAGTGGGGGAGGTACTTGATGGAGTGTCCCGATATTTTCCATTTACGCAACTGACTGCTGGTCAGATATTGGGACTTGCAATGTTGGAGCAAAATTGGTTATCCTTTCTATTTCTGTGCAGTATTTTTTTTTTTTTTTTTTTTGAAAATCGGGTCCTTTTTTGGAGGAGGTACCAGAAGGAGTAGACCGATATTGCCCATCTCCGAATTCGATCTAAGTTTGATAATAATACGACGAAGTACCAAGTTTGGACTAAACCGGATACGCTCTTCGAGAGTTACCGTGCACACCAGCCAGCCAGACAGGCGCACGGACGAACATCGCTATATCGACTCCAAATGTCGTGAAACAGATTTACCTAGGGTCTAAGTTATTTCGATGAGGCACGTTATGGCCGTATAAAATGATATATATCCTCTCAAGCCAAATGGCTATTTTTAACTAATTGAATAAAAAAATTGAACTTCGACTTTTTCGTTGAAGACAAAAAATCGAAAAGTCGATTGTAACTTTTTATCCTTACTGTGACCAAGTAGAATGCAATCGAATACGAAGAACTTGTCAAGATTATCTTGGGAAATAAAGACTCACTTCGTCGCGGCCAAGGCCATAGTATTATGGCTAGAGCCTACAAAAGGTTTTAGATGTTGCAGAACCTCCCTTCCAAGCTTGGTAACTAAATAACTGTATCCTTTAAGCATTCAATTTGTGTAATACATTTGGCTTTACAAAGATTTATTTGACAAATTTTACACATGTACAAATTGTACATCCATTGATCGAACGTAACATACGACAAGTTTAGTATAAAATCTTAATACCACTAAGCTATACTTGTCATGGTATATACACTTTGCTTGTCCATATTCAATTTTTGGTAAAAGAAACGTAAACAATGCCAACATTGAAACGTTGAAAATGAAAACAATGAGAATGGCAACTGGGCAATGGTCAGCTAATTCAAAGTCAAAATATGCGGTGATTAGAAAACGATGGAAAATATGCACTTGAAAAAAATGTTTGAAAGACTTTTCAATTCCAATTATAGAATATATATCTATATTAATCACATATGTAAAGTGGCCGCTCCTCAAAATTTTTAATTTGCAACGAAACGTTCAGAGCCTAGTATAAATTAATAGAAATATAGGTGGAGATAAAAAAAAACTGCAACCAACTTCAGACAGCTGTCATTTCTATGACACTCGTCCGACAGCTGTTAAAATTATTCCAGTGACAGCTCATTATATTGCTTACAAGCGTGCAAAAGCATTTTGGTGAAAATTTTCCAGAAAAAAAGTTATTCGTGATAGAATTCAAGCGTGAGTTTTTTATATTTGGCTGGAAAACCAGAAGTTAATTTATTTAAATGTGAATAAATCTTTTGTGTCTCGTATCATCGCTCGCTATCGTGATACTGGTAGCGTAGCCCGATGTCAAGGAAGTGGACGGAAGAAAACAGCAACATCAGCAGAAATGGTTCGAAAAGTAATGATTGAAACCCGCGTCGCAGTGGCCGTAAAATGGCTCGTGAGCTGAACATATCGCAATATTCCATTCGGCAAATATTGAAAAATGAGCTCGGGGTAAAGCCATTGAAATTCCAAAAATTGCAAGAACTTACACCGAAACAGAAAGAAAATAGACTCAAAAGAGCTAAAAAGTTGCTTCGCTTGGTGGTGAACTGCCGAATTTGGTTTTCGGTCTCCGATGATAAATCATTCGTTGTCCAGCAGTTTGTAAACAAACAAAATGATCGTGTTTACTTGCCAAAGAGATCAGCTGAAAATATGCACCTTTGGTTGGCCACCAGAACTCAAGCGTCGGCCATGGTGATGGTGTGGGCCGCCATATAGCGGATGGTCGCTCTCCGCTCGTACTAATCGACCGTGGCATCAGAATAAATGCCGATTATTATCGCGAAAATATTCTGGAGGGTGTATTAAAACCTTGGGCACGCAAAAAATTTTGCCGCAGACCTTGGATATTCTAACAGGAACCATCGCACTCAGCACACGCCAACCAAGAATGGTTACAAAATGAAGTTCTTCCAGGGCACAATGGTCACCAAAATCTCCGGATACCAATCCGTTGGACTATTGTGTCTGGAGTATTTTGGAAAGCAAGGTTGGCACTAAAAATACCAAAGTGTCGATCACCTCAACCAAGCGCTTCGCTGGGAATGGGGCAAAATACCGCAGAGCAACATTCGGACAGCGTGTTACGGTTTCATTGGCCGTTTGAAGTCCATAATTCGTGCCAATGGTGACCAATTCGAACAAATCTAAACTTATTCTAAAATTTAATGTTATTTCCGACATTTTTTGCTTTCAATAAAATTTAAAAATAAAATGTAAAAATCATGGCGTTTAACTTTGGTGCAGTTTTTATCTCACCCTGTATACCATTTTAAAAATCCTAATTAGAAGTATTTTTGCTCCGCCTGTTAATCCAATACATAGTATCGAATCTACAATATTTAAGGCTAGAATATACATAATGTCGTCTGTCGGGCTTGTGCGAACGAAAACTCTCGAAGGGAGTATCCGATTTGGTGTAAACTTGGTACATCGCAATATTATTGACAAACTCAGTTCAGAGTTCGGAGATGGGTAAAATCGGTCTACTCCTTCAAAAATATATTTTATTGCACAGAAAGCGAAAGGATAATCCAATTTTGCTCCAACTTTGCAAATTCTAATATTTACATCAGGGCTAGATCAAGCGCAAAAACGGAACTCCATCATGTACCTCCCCCACAAAGAATCAAAATTTTGAATAATTAAAACTCTTATAAAATGTGATGTAAAAGTCCGACTGTCTTCAAATTACACACATCACCATATTCTTATTAACCCAAGGTCTGGTACCTCTCCCACAAACGGTCAACATTTTTAATATCCATGAAGCGAAACTAGCATCCGATTCCATTCAGACTTTGCTCATCTCAATATTTCTATCAACACAAGATCTGTTATAAAGATGGTAGAGATCGGACCATTCCTTCTGGTATCCCTCCACATAGGGTGCAAATTTTGAAAAACAAAACGTTCAGAGAAAACTAAATAAGCATCCAGCTCTCTTCAAATTTCACATACACACAAACTTTTTGCTAACACAAAATCTGTTGTGAAGATATATATCATATCTGGTTCCTTTTTGGAACCTAACCCACAAAGGGTCGCAATTGTCAATACCTTTATCTGTCATAACTTGCGAAACAAGACAGCGATTCTTTACAACTTACTATATGTATTTCTCTTAACCAGAAACCTGCGACGAATATGGAATTTATGATTTCACATAAAATTTGATATAAATGTTACAAAGGCTACCATATTTAGTATCTTTTAATACTTTTCATACCGGATTTCCGAAAATCCAGCTTTATCTGACCCCTTTGGACCAAGAGTGACCCTCGCCCAAAATTCAAAAATTTTAGTTTCAGCCGTTGCGTCTGGTCGGCCAGTCAATTACTTTACTCTTGTATAAATATGTATAAACTGGGACTCATGAGTCCCTCGATGTTATTAATAAAAAAATAATTCCTGGACAAAGCCAAACAGTTGTCAAAATATGAGTTGCTTTAATTCCTAGGACTTTGCAAGATTTATTTTGCTTAGTTTATATTTAAACTTAAAAAAAATAGATTTTTCAAGTGTACTGCTTCAAACAAAACTTGCATCTTCATTATCGTTGGTATTGTTTGTCCAGCTACTCAAAGACACACACCCGCACAGTCAGAGAGGGAGAGAGAGAGAGAGACAAATTGTTAAATTGTACATAGCTCTTGCCATTCATGCCCTCGACAGTCATGATAATGACAATGGTCATGAGTGTCAAATGCCCTCCAGAAGATATAATAAAAAATAATGCTTGTCTAGCCGAAGTCGACAAACGTCAAGAAGCTCAACGCAAACTTATAGCCATTGATGGCAGCGCAACCTTTCAGACGACTAAGGAGAACGGGCGACAAATATACAAATCCGTCCACCAAGAAAAGTAC